ACTTCCATGACTTTATATTTTCTGGATATTATCCCCTTTTGCTGATGGGATGGTGACACCTTTGAATATATTATATAACAACACATCTGAGACTGCAGTGAGGGATTCTTCTGGTTTTGAAGAAGTGAGCAGCCTTCTACACATCAGTTTTTAATCCATATTAGTTGATACTATTAGTGTAATATTAATAGTATAATATTTGATGATTCCTTAGTACGTTTTTGATTGATTTCAACTTTCATGGAGCTTTCTTTGAAGCAGCCAAACATTATTGTTTATTTAAACAATAATTTGTAGGAAATAATTTTGAACATTTTAAAGCCTCTTTTTATAGAAATCTAATTGGCTTATGTTCTTGTCTTTTCCAAGGTACAAATTCTGAGCTGTCTAACCCCTCTGAAACAGAATCTGAGCGTAAAGACGAGCTGAGTGACTGGTCATTGGCAGGAGAAGATGATCGAGACAGTCGACATCAGCGTGACAGCAGGAGACGCCCAGGAGGAAGAGGCAGAAGTGTTTCAGGGGGTCGAGGTCGTGGTGGACCACGTGGTGGCAAATCCTCCATCAGTTCTGGTAGTCTTTTATATACTCTGTCAGCATCCGTTCTGTGTAAACAGTATAACTTTACAAAAGTTAATTCATCTCCCAGGGCCATGCATTTTTTGAAATTTCTCTTTCTACTCACTGTCTTACAGAAAGTAGTGGACCACATAGCAGTATCAGGAAAAGCCCTTGTAGAGTGTTTCGGTGAAGGTTTACGTAGAATATTCTGGTCAGAACTTTAGTTGGCTGCTTTTCTTTATGAGAGTCAGATGTTTATCTCTTCAGGTTTTAGAGGCTTATTGATTAGAAATCTTTTGTTTTCCCTAGAATTTTTGGGTTATGTATTTTTGTTTGCAAGACAGACCCAGAGATTTCTAACGTACAGAGAAATCTCAATACTTTTCAATACTTAATACTGAAAACCAAGTGAAGAGTGTCCTTAGATACACTATATAGTACTTTGGAAACCGGGAAACATTGTGGAATTAAGTTTTTTAATCATTTGAGGAATTCAGCTGTAACGAGGAGTGTTTGGATGACTAAAGATTTGAGTGTATAAGCAACATTTTACTTGATTACTTCTGTCTTTTAAAATTCTTTATGGTTTACGTTAAGTTTTAGGAATTTCCAGAATATTCTTGGTTAGCATAATGGGCTAGGGGGAGAATTGCCAGGGATACATAGACGATATTAAGGATATAACTTCAGCACATCATTATGGTATACCACTTTTAAGAACCTCACACTTTTCTTAATGTTACACTCGTGAAAACTTATGTAGTATTTTTAATAGTACAGAAAGTATTTGTATATGAAATACAGATGCCAACTGTTTACAAATTACAAAAACTGGAACAAACCAGATTTTCTCTCTTTCCACAGTACTATTCTTTGACCCCTAAGCTTAGTTCACAGGCTTTCAGGGAAATAGTTTTTATATTTTAGCACACTGTGCACTGTTACCAAGGTGTTTAAAATTATGGTATACTGAATTGCAAAATAAATGTACTTGACCTAGTGTTTATAATTAATGGATAAACTTAGTGTCTTTTGCAAAGATGCTTAGCTTGCTAGCTGTTACCAAAGGAATCTTAGGAAAAATCGGAATTAGGTGAATTTCTCCTATAAATTTGATTGTTGGAGACAATAAATGCACATAGGTAAGATGGGTATATATATATATTTTTTTTTATTTTCTATTTTTTTTTATTTTTATTTTTTTACAAATTACACCTTACAGTTTTTCCTTTTCCACCTTCACCTCTCCTTCACACATTATTTCTAAAGATAGAGTGCTAGTTAACATTCATTTCAACATTTTCCTTTCATAACCAGTTACAAGTTCAACCTTATTTAATTGGCTGCTTTATTTAAACTTGTTTTGATTGCTTCAGTTCATAGTTACAGATTTCTGTTATGTCATGGAGTGCATGTATTATTTGGAAATAGTCCATCAGCATCAGCACAACAAAGCTGCAGTCATTTTGAACTCAGTTAAGGGGACGAAAGCTCTTTCTTGTAATGATTTTTAACAGCTGAATATTTATTTCTTTTCACTTCTGTTTTTCTAGCTTCTGGGCAGGATTACCTTGAAATGTAAATGTCAAAATTAGTATTTAATACACTATTTTCTAATGAATATTAAAAAAAAAAAACATAAGAAATGTTAGCAAGCCAAGATGTCTGCTCACTCTCTGCTTTAATTTTTTCATCACCATTTAAAGTTTCATCATATTTAATTATCTTTGCTATTTTCCAGGTAAAATAATGATATTGGAAAGATTTTATTTGAAGACAGTGCATTTTTATTGGGGGAGATTGAAGTTTATCATTAATTGATGTATTTCAGTATAGATCAAACATTCATAATTGCAGCCCTCTTAAACGAATATTTCTTGCCTCTGACATGAATATAGTGCTCAAAGATCCAGACAGCAATCCATACAGCTTACTTGATAATACAGAATCAGATCAGACTGCAGACACTGATGCCAGCGAGTCTCATCACAGTACTAACCGTCGTAGGCGGTCTCGTAGACGAAGGACTGATGAAGATGCTGTTCTGATGGATGGAATGACTGAATCTGATACAGCCTCAGTTAATGAAAATGGGCTAGGTATGTAAGCACTTAGGGAAAAGATACATATATATACACACACCCACACACACGTATATAACTGTATACTATTGTTAGTGATGAAGCTTTTTTCAAAGAAAGTATGCAATTCACAAATTGACTTTTTCTTAGTGTTTACTTTGAACAAGGTAGATAGCTTTTTTGTCTGTCTTAAATGTTTAGTTCTCAGATTTGTTAGAGCCAAATTATTTGAAACTTGGAGGCTTAAAGTGCCCTTTGATGCCATTAAATCAATACAAATACTCAAACTGCAGGGTACTTAGTGCTTTTATTGTCCCCAAACTAAAATCAGGCTTTCATCATGCCTCTTTTAAAATAATTATAAATGACACTGGTAAAGGTATATATATATATATATATAAAGAATTGACACTGGTAAAAGTATATATATATATATATATCAAGAGTAGGCATTAATTTTTAAGGGCTAAAATGTCATTAACTTCAGTATAAACCAAACTGTAACTGTACCAGAGAGGAAAATGGTGTCCCTGAATGATGGCAGTTTGAGAGTTTGTTTTACTGTGAGTTAAAACCCTCTTAATTTCCAGAGGATAATTCCATTTTTAATCCATTTGGAATGCTGAAAGCTACAAAAACGTATTTCCTGTCAGTAAACATTTATTGTTTTATTTTTGGTGTTTAATTAAAAGTTTCTCTTTCCCCTTCTTTAAATCTTTGAAGGAAAGAAGGTTTTTTGTTTGTTTTTTTTGTTTGTTTTTGTCAGAATAGTTCATGGTAAACTTTGCAATTACAGATGATAGTGAAAAAAAACCCCAGCGACGCAATCGTAGCCGCAGGCGTCGCTTCAGGGGTCAGGCAGAAGATAGACAGCCAGGTAACTTGAGTGGACCTGTTGACAACATCAGGTCACAAGCATGAAAAAAATGTCATATGCCTGCTTTCTAAATATATTATACTTACATGTACACATGTGTGCATATACGTTCAAAATTTGCATTGCATAAGTTGTTTATTCAACTAATAAGACTACTACTATTAAGAAAATGCATTCTTCCTTCACAGCGTAAGCGTTAGTAACTTGTCTAATTGAACTAATGTTGTGTCTCAATTGTTTACATGGAAAGACTGTTGAGAAGACCATTTTGTTCACTTGGCAGTTTCTTCACACTTGAGATGGGGCCTGCCATCCCAGGGGCTATGTTGTAGATTGTGATTGAGGTTGATTGGCAAAACTGGGCAGCTTTTGCATGGTGCCTGCTTACTATATCTGAATTCAGCACCTCAGTTTTGTGGGAGTTGTAATACCCACAGTTTAAAAAAAAAAAAAAAAAAGTATAAAAGAGAAAAATACTTGAAAGTGTCTCTCACCTAATAAGAGGAATGCATGTTATGTTTTTGTTTACTATAGTGTGATGCCTTTTACACCTACTAACTATTCAAATTAATAGTACTTACTTAGTTTTAGAATGTTTATTTTATGTAGTCATTAATTTTTAACTTTAAAGAAACTTGTTTGCTGTGTCTATTATTTTGAACATAATTCCATTTCCTGTGTACAGAGAATCACATGTATATTCACAATGAAGAAATTGTGTGCACCAGAAATAAACCCCTTTCAAACAAATCAATTTTTGCATTCTTTCCAAAACCAGTTCTTTCATGTGTTTTCCCCAAATAAAAATGTAAATTCTGGCTTCTTTACTATTTTAAATTTAGTGGTTGTAGAGACATTTGGTAAAACTGGTTAAGGGAATTAGTTCCCATTCCTGAAAGTTCATGTTTTAAAGATAGTTGGAAATTTTTAGATCAATTAAATATTGTCAGAAATTCTAAGTGTCCAGAAAAAATATGTTTTCCTTTCCCTTCTATCCTCCCCTCCTTTAATGTTGAGAATATATTTTAGGCCTGGGCTTGGTAGCTCACACCTGTGATCCCAGCACTTTGGGAGGCCAACGTAGGAGGATTGCTTGAGCCCAGGAGTTTGAGACCAGCTTGGGCAGCGTAGTGGGATCCTGTCTAAAAATACAAAAACTAGCTGGGTGTGGTAGTACGCACCTTTTGCACCAGCTACTCTGGAGGCTGAGGTGGGAGAATCACCTTAGGCAGGGAGGTGGAGGCTGCGGT